TTTATACAAATAATTATTTTTAATTTCAAAATATCTAGATTGTTTAACTAATTTTTGTTGTTGAGTTGGTATTAATTTGTCTGGTAAAGTTTTGTTTTGTAAATAATTAAAAGATGATTATATTGTGATATATCCATTGTGAGCTATTTGTCACGCTGCAAACACTTTAGCTTTCACTCAAATAAATATATTTTAATAAATGTTGGGGTAGATGGAAAATTAATAAGAGGATAGGGAATAATATCTAACATTTCATAAAGTTGAGAGTATGCATTTTCTTGTTGAACTAAAACTGGTTCTTCCCACCATACGTTATTAACTAGGCAACTTGGTATCATATCAGAATAAATTTTTCCTCTTTCATATCCTATAATACAATCATGAATAATTATACCATAAGGTAAATTCTTTTTACATGATTTACAATAGGTATAAATATGATGATTTTCTATATCATAAGTAAAGGTACATTAAGATCCTTCTTTGATAATAGGTTGGTTAGCTATGACTGATTTGATTTTAATATTTTCACAGTAGATTTTTTCCATTTCGTTCTTTGGGCTTTCATATTCAACTGCTGTAATTAAAAGTACATTGGAAAATTGCTGAAATAGTTGTTCCTTAAACCATGTTTCTTCATTGTCTTTAGTAGAATCATGTTCAAAAGAAATATGCCATTCGTTCTCTGACTCTTCATATTCAATAGTAGTTACCATAAAAACTTTATGTGTATTATCATCATATTTTGGTTAGTATTAATTCAAGAAAGCGTATCAGCATTAGCATTTAATTTTCCAGGTCTATGCTTTATTTCGAAATCATACTGTTGGAGTTTTATGATCTATCGTACTCTCCTTCTTTAGGTATTTTTGATGTTTGTAACCATTTAAGAGCTGAATGGTCAGTAACAATGGTAAAAGGTTGTAAGCTCAAGTAATGGTGAAAATATCTCACAGCCCATACAACTACAAGACATTCTTGATCAGTTATTCCATAGTTTTGCTCAGCTTTATTCATACTTCTGCTGGTATATAATACTACACAATCAAGTCCATTTTCTAATTTTTGGGAGAGAACAGCTCCTAAACCATTTCCAGAAACATCGGTATATAAAATAAATGGCTTATTAAGTTCAGATACTGTAAAATAGGTGCAGTAATTAACTTTTCTTTTAAAATATCAAAAGCCTTTTGTTGAGCATCTGTCCAAGAG